GCAGTATTTCATCTCTTCTTATGGCTGAGTAATATTCCATTGTATGTATGTACTACAGCTTCTATAGCCCGTCATCTATCGTAGAACACTTCAGTTGCTTCCATGTCCTGCCCACTGTGAATAATGCTGCTATGAACATTGGTGTGCAAATATCTTTTCAGAGATGGGTTTTCAAGTCTTTGGGGTAAATACCCAATAGAGGGATTGCTGGATCATATGGTAGATCAATTCTTAGTTTTTTGAGGAACCTCCATACTGTTTTCCATAGCGACTGCACCAATTTGCAATTCCACCAGCAGTGTATAAAGGTTTCTTTTTCTCCGCATCAAGAGGACACCATCTTTTGATCTGTCAGGTCAAGGGGTGGGATCGGCCCTTCACAAACCACGAGGGTTAAGACTGGGGGCAGGGAGAGTTGGTCCCCTCCTTGGAATTCATTGAGTCCTAAAAAACATGTAGGTTTGATAAACTTCTAACCCCTAATTCCTATGAGGACTCCTGGAGAGTCATGGCATTGAGAGGAGCCATATTGCTACGTGACAACTGGGACTATTAATACAGTAAAGCCAGTGGCACCTACAGAATATATGGGTTACTTGGGTACCCATGGCTTGTCTCAGGATGGGGCAGAGAACCCATGGAAAAGACCGGACTTCCTGGTAAATGGAAGGATGGCAGCTTGGAGCATTTGGGACATCATTATAAAGGCGACTTCATTTGTTCGCACAGACTGGTACAGACCAGGTCATCCTAGCCACATAAAAATGTCTGCTGTGCTGCTGAGAAATCAGCCTGGGTATGTGTTTGGGGAAAAGAAGCAGAAAGAAAATATAATTTGTGTCCATTAAAGGAACTTCCCCCCAATAGTCTTCCATATTCAGCTTCCGCTTCTGTCTACTTTGTGCAAAGGTATTTGTATTATGTATAAAGAAATGATTCTATCAGATGTAAGACAAGGGAGAAGGAGAAAGGAAGGAGGCAAAGGAAAAGAGAAGACGGAGCACTTAGGATCTAAGATGTTTAAATCTCATAGGCCTTGTGAAAAATCTTAAATAGAAACATCTTAGGATGTTAAGATGTTTACACCTGTTACTTAACGACCTCCAGAAAAAAAGATTTGGCTAAATAGAGAGACATTTAACGAGCCTTCGAGATAGAGTAATTTCATACTTATGTACATCATGTAAGTTCTGACAGTGCCGAATGGAGGTGCTAAGGGCAAGCCTGTTCCAGTCTTTTAACTGTAAGTGGGCACGAATATCTATTTTATTCTGGAATAATTTCGAACTTACAGAAAAGTTACAAGAATAATACAAAGAACTTCCTTGACCCAGATCACTAGTACTGAATATTTAACACATTTGCTTTCTCATTCTCTCTCTCCCAACTCTCCCTTGTTCATATGTTTATCCACCGACATATCTTTTTCTGACTCATTTAAGAATAGATTGAATATATCATAATGCCACTTTGCCCGTGAATCTTTGTATTTCCTAAAAAACCAGGCTATTCTCTTACCAACCATAATACAGTTATCAGATTCAGGAAATTCGATAATTAATATTGATAGAATATTTTTATCTAAACCATCTTCCATTTTCCAGTTGTCAATTGTCTCAATGCCTTTTTTTTAAATTTAATAACAAAATCTTAACATTTCTTAAATTAGATTTATTACAGCAGGGTTTTCCTGGCACAGGTTCCATCCAAGATTGTCATCATGTCTCTTTAGTCCCATTTCACCTAGAACGTTCCCTCAGCCTTTCTTTGCCTATCAAGACATTAACGTTTTTTAAGAATAAGGGCCATTTGTTTTATAGAATGTCCCTCAGTTTGGACGTGTCTGAAGTTTCCTCATAATTCACCTCAGATAATGCCCATCTCAGAGTATTACAGTCAAAGGCATTTTGCCCCTCATTAGAAACATTAATTTTGACCACTCAGTTAAGAGGTCCAATTTCTCTTCTATATAGAACTTTTCATTTTGTATTTAATTGTTAGAGAGATTCTCTGAGACTATTTAAATATGGTATCCCTCATCAAATAATCCCTTCTCCCCAGTCTCCTGAAGTCCTCAACAGCCTTCTTTGGGTTGTTATATAGATTAATGGGTTTCCTAAAATATCAGAAAATTTTTTGAAGAAGCAAGCAAACAATTATTTCATAAATATTTGACAGAACAGCCGGTGGTGAGCATGGGTAAGGGCGGTCTCTGAGTTCACTCGATGAGAAGCTCTCAGTGGCACAGGTGCTCGGTCAGTCTTTGGTAAGTGGCCTCTGTGTGTGCAGAGCTGGCCATCCCGTCTGGGATGTTTTCTAAGAGATCAACATACAGCTTCTTTCTGATTCTCTCAAACTGTGAAACCTTGGTTAGTTACACTTTTGTGAGAAAGGGTAAGTTAAAAGGCAGGAAAATAAATAAGTAAGTGCATAGCACAACTTTCTGGAAAAAAAATCTAATTCTGCGCATTTTGCTCAATCCCCTTTGCCTACTGTTTTTGTGCCCAAAGTACTTTTTGTTGAGGTAAATGTTCAAAAGTTGTACACAGCAGAGTATGATACCAGATACATTTCAGAAAAGTCTTCCCCAATGGAAATTTTTTTAAAAGAGCTTTTCAAGGTTTATGCTCCATTGACCCAAAAGTTTTTAAAAGCAGGAGGTACTATTCTCTAAGTCCCCAGCTAATCCAGATTTTGTAGCCTGTATAAAAGTGTTCTCTTTCCTGAACCATTTGTTGAATCTCTGCCATAGAACCTCAGATTTCTCGTAAGGCCCCCAATTAATCCCGACTATGCCCACGACTCCCTTTCTTCTGCTTTGGAGATAGAAACCGCTTTATATTTTCAGATGAACTTTAAAGAATGTTGAAATGCCTTGCCCACTCTTCTTGTCTCTCTTCCTCCCTCTCAGCACTTAAAACAGGCACCACCCAGGCCAACGGGCAGATTCCCCAGGCCGCACACCCTGTGCATGCTGTTGTCGAAGAAGCCCAGACACATGCTGGCACAACTAAGGTAAGGCCAGACAGTCACCCACACGGTTCTCTCAGACTGTCACCTGTGAGCTCGTAATCTAAACCATGAGCAGTGTTCTGATAACCAGTCCGCTAAAAAGAGAAAACATACCTCCAGCTAATTCACTATAACTTTGTTTAGATAATTACCTTACTTTTTTTAGTCTTAAACGTACATAGGCTAAAATGGAGAGTTAAAACCAGCTATTATCACCCTGCTTTGGGAAAATGTAAGTTTTGTTTTTTTTTTGTTTTTTTTTTGTTTTTAGGCTGAGGATTGGTAACTATTTTTAATTTAGCTACATTTATTTTGACTGAAGTTATTTTCTTGGTTTAGTCAATTGGTTTTAGCACACCCCGAAAGTAGCAGTTAAGCTTTAAGCCCTTGGGATTTTTTTCTTATTTTTTTTCTGTATAAATTTAAGCAACCAGTTAAGTAATAAGCCCTGTACTAAATGTGAACAGGGCCCCAAAACCAGACTATTATTAAAAAGTTGCACTATAAAATATGCATTTTATAGTTTCCTGTTAGTGTTCTACATACATCCTTAGATTGATGGAAAAGAAAACACATTTTAAAATAATAGTATATTATTTATAATAATAGTATATTATGAATTGGTATAACATTCTCTGTAACTTTTTTTTTTTTCAGTAGAGGAGATTAAGGAAGATTCATTTAAATCTATCTAAAAATTGTAGCTAAAAGTGGTAATTTAGTTACTAGTCCCATTGGTGATAGCTCAGTTGACTATACAAGTTTCCTTGAATATTTCCCATGGGTGATTCAAAACAACCTTAGATAATTGTACCTTCAATAGTTTTTCTCTTCATTCCCTTCTCCTATTTTGTCCATTGGTCAGTGATAGAAACAACTAAATATTTATCAAACTTACATTTATTGAACTTCTTATAATTTTTGAAAACCTCTGTAGACCGTAAAACATTGTGCTTCTCAAATATTCTTGCTAGCTTCTCAAGTGTGACAGTCTCATCATGCAATGTGCTTTCAGCTATTATTATTTTCATGGTGTCTTTGATGCCAGCTGAAGAGGAACATTTTAAAATGCTGAAAGCAATTTAAAAAATAGATCCCAGAATGTGTGTGAATACCAGTTCCCAAAACTGCCTGTTCAGAAAAAATTTTTAAATACATCACCAGTCAATTAGCTTATTGTGTTAAGCAAATAAATTAAATAAAATAGAAACTCCATCATAAGACATTTTGTTAGGGGGGAAAAAACTTCTAAATGAAATCTTCAGTGGTAGGAAGTTATTAAGCAAAGACAGAAATAAAATGAAAGCCTGCTAACATGTAAATTGTAATGATAATTATCACTAAGACAGAGGGATTCAATTCACCTGCCTGAAATTCCTGGAAAAGTTGCATTATATACATATAATTTATTGTTATCTATTCTACTTGGCAAAAGGACTGTGGCTTTTAGCCTTTGGCCAAGTTTGGTGTTCTGGTTTCTACCAATAACACATGCGTCATGATTTTTCTCTTTGGAACCACTCACATATTTATCTCTAATCTCATCGTAACCTTGAGACATAGATAATGATAGGGATTATGATTAGCCAGCTGGCTTTCACAGTTAAGCAAAGGTAAATCTAAGACTACAGACCAGGTGTGCACGTTCCTGCTCTTCCTGTTATGCAGGAGGGAGCCAAGCTAAACCTGGCCCCTCCTTAGAAGCCCACAGTCCTGGGGCAAGGCACCTGTGCCCTCAGCGGGCGGGCAGGAAAACACTGACACAAGAGCGGCCAAAACAGTTCTTTGCCAGAACAGCCTTTGCACTGGGGTTTGCACAAATGTTACCTGTAGTCCAGAGAGAACTATTCTGGTTTTCCTTTTTCCTTCCACCTTCTTGGTGCAGATCAAAGTAGGGCATTTGAGACTTGTGGAAGGTTTGGGGAAGCACCTTAACCACCTCTCTGCCACTGACGGGGTATGGCGCAGGGGCAAAATAATGGTGACACCCGAGCTTCACAACCAGTTCAACTCAGACCAAGAAAAATGTAATGGCTACATAGGCCTGGGACCCCGTGGGCTTTTCTTGGGAACACAAGGCGTCTTTGGGAATTCCAAGGGGTTCCAGTTTGCTTCTGTTTGAGTTCCTTCAGTAATCTCTCAGCTAGCTAAGCGCTACCCAGCAGTCCCCAACCTTGATGATCTGAGGTGGAGCTGAAGCGGTGATGCTAGCGCTGGGGAGAGGCTGCAAATATGGATGGAGCCTACTGCTCACCTTCTGCTGTGCAGCCCAGTTCCTAACAGGATGGAGCCTACTGCTCGCCTACTGCTCACCTCCTGCGTGCAGCCCAGTTCCCAACAGGCCACCACCAGTACCTGTCTGCAGCCGAGGGGTTGGGGACCCCTGCTATACCACTAAAGCTCTTAAAGACAGCAGAGGTTCTGAGGACATACCTGTATAATCGAAATAGAACACAACTCCTTGAATAGGGCTAAGCCATTCATTTATAGAAGAGGCAGTGGATCAGTACCCCAGGGGTAATAATGTTACAGGCCTTTTGGAGTCTTTCTCCGATCCCAGAGCAAAGAGAACCTCATGAACAACCTCGTAGTCTCAGGGACTAGGGGACTGAGGCTTCCCCAAGGGGAGATGCTGTCTTAACTCAGGGAGATCTCATAAGTCAATGGAGGTGTCAGCTCGACGGTGGCTATATATCGAGAATAATGCCCTTGTTGCTTTGTTGAAGGATAAGAAGCCAGCCCTTGGTAACCACGACCCAGGAACGCCCAGGGTCCATCACCCTGCGAAGTCCAGCCTGCCGCCGCCCCCTCCCATGCGCGGGTCCTCAAACACCAGCGGAAGCCCAGTGACACCCCCTAAGGCCAAAGCCATGGGCTTGCCCCCGCCGGATGACTTTCTGCCGCCGCCCCCACCCCCACCTCCCCTGGAGGACGACGAGCTCCCGCCGCCGCCTCCCGATTTTAACGAAGAGCCCCCAGACTTCGTGCCTCCGCCTCCGCTGTCGTTTGCGGGGGACGCGGGCTCATTACCGCCTCCTCCCCCTCCCCCACCCGCCGTCGTCCCACAATCAGAGAGGCCGCCCCACGTTATCGCCAAAAGGCCTCCAGTTCCCCCAAAGAGGCAAGAGAACCCAGGACCACTTAGTGGGGGAGGGGGCGGGGAGCAGGATTTCATGTCAGACCTCATGAAAGCTTTGCAAAAGAAAAGAGGCAACATGTCCTAAGGGAGACATACAGACATCTTTGTGTCCTAAGTATAATCACTTCTAACCTCAAGTGCATTTTTGCTACTTTATTTTCATGACATCTCGGTCATTTTAGATAAAATATTAAAGTATTCATACTAGAAATGATGCCAAACGTATATTCATAACCATTAACCTAACAGACTTTATCTGCCTAAATGTACATAATCTTTCCTATGTATTTCCACTTCAATGAAATTTATCTTACCTTCCAAGGAGTTAACCAAAGTGATGTTTTATGTTCATTTATTTTATGATGTTCAGAAGCATCGAATTAATAAAAATTTAAAATTTTCCCAAAGATGGTATTCTAGAAATATCAGTGTATAAATCTAATGCCATAGCAACACTATTTTATAATATGCTTGACCTTTTGAAATGTTTTCAGAATCCCATGCCTTGCAAAGCCTTGTTGATCTTTATATTTTCCATCTTCACTTCCATGGCCTTCAGAATTTTTAGAAAAATCAAAGGAGGAAAATTCCCTAAAAGAAAATCTCATTGGCCCCGGTGAGTGAAAGGTCATTCCTCACCTGACCGTGACAAAGGAGGTTCTGGGTCCCATCACTGTGGATCAAGAGGACTCAAGAGAGTAGGCCTGGGGCATGGGGAGGGGAAAGGGATGGATATGGTCGTCATGGGCTTCGAAGAAGACCTCAAAAGTGTGACTTCGAACATTCTCCTTAGACAAGAAATCAGGCCCAAGGACATGCTTCACCTCCATCCCACAGAGCTGGGTCACAACCCACCAGATCCCCCAACTCCCACCCACACTATATCTTTCCTTTTCAGGGGGAAAAACTGTAAAAGTTCTTTTTTTTTTTTTTTTTACTTTTGATTCACTCTGATAATGTCCATCTTTTGATTGGTGTGTTTAGACCACTGATCTTTGAAGCGATTATCGATATGGTTGGATCACCGTCTGCCACATGTGTTAGTTTCTTGTTCTTTGTTTCTAGTTTTGTCTTCCTCTTTTTCTGCCTTTTGTGGTTTTAAGTGAGCATTTTATCTGATTGCATTTTTGTTCCTCTTTTGGCACATCGATTATACTTCTTTCACTTTGCTAGTAACTGATTCCAGGGCTGAGGCAAGAATTATGCAGAATGAACCCGGAACATCTTATCATACCAGAAAACAAGGGAGTTATCGAAAACCTCTAGGATTATGTCCAAAGGAGCCAATATGAACAAAACTTCACTGGTCAACTGCAGAACAATTTGTACATCAGGAAGGATAATAACTGCAATTGTATGAAACACATAAAATATGCTTAAATTCAATAGTTCTTTCCGATACTCACGTAATCAAGTAAGCCCACTCCACTGCTTGTCTTTGAAGCAACCTTGGGAACCCACTCGTTACTTTGCCTTTCTGTATCTGAGGATGTCCAAGTAATGATAGGAAGTTTTCCTTTATAGGAGGATTCCTAATAGAGTGATAGGATTAGGTTGTCATCATTTTGCAACCTTATTGCATTAATGGGTCAAGACGATGATTGTCAATGGCTATTCGTACCGCAGAAAAAGATCACCAAGTACGTACTTCCTAGTATACAACACTTGTCCCTGGTAGCAAGTATTTCTCTGCCAAATAAATCAAACCTGAATCTGAATCGAGGTCTAGATTTACAGAAATACAGGGGACAGAGTAACATGTTCAACAGCACTACAGAGATGCAATCAGCAAAATGCGGACTATGGGAAACATTACAAGATCAATGATCTGGTTTCTTCAAAACAAAACAAAAAATTGAGGAAAAAACGTAGGTGATTATACCCAAAGATATCAAAAGACGCAAGAGATTTTTATCGTCTAATTTTAATGTATAGACCTTATTCGGATCCCAATTCAAATAACTATAAAATAATGATGGTGAGAAAGGCCCTCGGGTTGGCGTGAGCCCCGGCGGCTCCGGCAGCTGGGGCGGCAGCAGAGATCAAGGCCAAAGCTAGATATGTCCAAGAGGCGAACGCGGTCCGGAGGGGCTGCCCAGCGCCTGAGCCAGGGGCCCCGTCGTCTACTCAGTCTCTGCAGATGTCCCAGCGGAAATCAGGCTCTGATCTCCCCAGCACCTTCCCTGAAATCTGGCCAAAGGCACCCCGTGCAGCTCCACTCAGAAATGCCATCGTCCTGAAGAAGATCGTAGCCCATGCTGTAAAGATCCCATCTGTCCACTCGCCTCCAAGGAGCCCTAGGATCGCCTTTTTCTTGGAGAAAGAAAACAAGCCTCCTGGCCGGGAACCTACTGGGGAGGACCTCTTCAAGACATGTAGTGTCCCTGTCACCGCCACCACCACTCCTGTGCTATATGACCTAGATGTTGAGTCTAACTCCAGGGGACGAGACCTAGACACCAGAGACTTGGAAATGTCTAAGAAAGTCAGGTGCTCCTACAGCCGGCTGGAGCCCCTTGGCTGTGCCTCTCCACCTCCACCCCAGGTTGCAGATCCTGCTCTGGCTTCAAGGGACGGCTGGGGGCAGAAGACCTGGCCGGAATCCTGCCTTTAGTGTATTCAAAGTTAACTGAAGTCCCCAGGGTCCCCGCAAATCCCTGGGCCCTGGACACGACTCTCTCCAGAATCTCCCCCACCAGTCATGAAGGAGAAACGGAAGAAGAAGGTGCCAGAGATCCTGAAATCAGAGCTGGATGAGTGGGCCGTGGCCATGAATGCTGAGTTTGAAGCTGCTGAGCAGTTTGATCTCCTGGTTGAATGAGATAAAATGGGGTGCATCTGGCCAGGCTTTCCCCTCTTCCCCCTGTACATAGCCCCTTCTTCCTACAGGAAAGACACTTGGGGTCCCCTTCTTTGGCCTTGGTACCTTGCATGTGCTGTTGCTGCACATGAGGTCTGTCCTCTGAGTGTGCAGTGACAGCAGCCATTTCGGCTTCAGTAAATGGGGTTCCCCTGGCCCAGCCACACACTGGCATCCGTCTCTGGTCAGTAACCCTACCTGATCCTCTCCTCCCTACCTCTCGGAGTGTCCTGGCAGTTTCCGTTCGGGCCACAGATGAGAGGCGGAATCACTGGTCAGGGATTGTGGGTGAGAGCACCCAGCTCCAGCTGGGAAGTGAGGCTGCTCTCCAGCCTGACAGAAGCAGGTGCCGAGGGCTGTCTGCCGCAGCCTCGGGCTCTCTCTCCAGTTGTCTTTTGTTGGTGGCTTGGTTCCATCTATGTAAAAGGCTTGAGATTCCTCTTAGATTCCATAGATGGTCCAGGAGCATTCGTGGATTGGGGACAGACTATCTATGAAGAAGAAGCTGGACCCACAGCCAGCAGAGTCACATTTTGAAGAAGAGTCTTAGACCATAGGTGTTTATTACATAGAAGCTGTGTTTTATAGTTCTGTGTTCTGCTGTTGAGATGTTTGGTTCAATGCCAGGCTGACGGAGCACTGGCTGCGTGGGCAAAGGGTGCATTTCGGGGTGCCACATGCCACAGGCTGCAGCCTCCACAGAAACTGAGACACAGGTGTCAGGACTGGACACCTGCACTGGGCTGGGGAGGGGTCGGTGGGAGGAGGCGCCCTCTTTTGTCACTCACCAGTTTCTTACAAAATATAATGTACAGTCAGCTCAGCTTTAAAACTTAATAGGTTGAACGGTGCTATCCCACTAGTATTTTGTGGCCACATTTACAAAGTTTGAGGAAGCTTTCCTCACGAGCCAGAAAGAGACAGGGGTCCACAGAGGTTTCAACCTTTAGCTTACTTAGTGATCTCTCATGACAGCACTGCCTGAGGCAGGTGCCAGGAGTCGAGCTAGGGGGAGGGGGTTGTCTCGTCTCCAGGGAACCTCACTCCCTCACCCCCATTTCTCAATGCTGATGAAAGGTGGGCTTTCAAAGGTACCCCGACCATAACCTCCACCATACTCCAGGTAGCTGAACCTTTTGACATTGACAGGTTTGTGGATGCGTAGTCTAAGAGGAGTGTCGAGGGGCTAGTGGAGAGCAGAGACCAGCCGGGAAGATGAGGGCTTGCTTCGTTAGGGTTTGAGGAACAGAACAGTGCAAGCCGGTGGGCGCTAACGAAACTCTTTGCAAGGCCTGGAAGTCCCAGGCTACCTGTTCAGCGCTTCCTGCTTTGTGAGACTGCCAGCAAGCCCCTTTGCCAGCCTGGGCCAGCCACCCTTGAGCTAGACCACACCTGAAGAATTCTGCCAGCACAGAACCCCCGGGAAATGCCTTAGTCCTGCAGCATCAGGAGTGGTCAGGTGATGTCGAGTTCATGTCACCACTACAGACCTCTCTGTGTCCCTGAAAAACTGCGAGTGTGGAATTTGAGGGAATAGTGGAGTTTCCTTTTTAAATTAAAAAATAAACTTGATTGAAGAGTTAAAAAAAATGACGGTAATGACTCATAAAACAATAGGAAAGATTTGAAAACTGGTTATTTGATTTCAATCATGCATTAGTGAAATGTTCATTTGTGTTAAGGTGATAACACTGTGTATGTTTTAAGTCATTAATGTTTGAAGATACATTTGTAAATTAAATGAAACAATGTCTAGGAATTTCTGTAAAATACTTGGGAATATATAAATTATACCTCAATTAAAGCAATAAGTAGGAACATGTGGGAAGTGTATAGGGGTGTAGATGAAGCAAGATTGATCATATATTGATAATTAATAAGCTAGCTGAATAGTAAATGAGGTTCACTGAACTATTCTCTTTACTTTGGTAAATGTCTGAAAATTAGCATAATAGACAAAAAGCTCTAGGAGTACAATTAAACTGTATACTTATGTGATGTGCCCCAAAGTGCTTGGCACATAGTAAGTATTAGATGAATACTTAAAATTTCATTAAAAGATTGTCATAGGACTTTTTAGCTATTGAGAATAACTCACATGATTTACCAAAAATGCTTTATTATTCCATTAAAGTTATTAATTAGAACAAAAATGATCACAAAGGTGTTCCAAAGAATAGGTTAAAAAATATTTTTATATATAATCATTATTATGAAATTTAGGATTGTCATCAAAACGTAGATGGTCATTAAGAATTTATCAAATTGATTATTCTATGTAGATTTCAATGGTAGAAGTATTCTTTATTTTCTCCAAATTAAGATGAGCAGCTAACTCTGAGATCTTTAGCCCAAGAAGGAGTAGGTGAGGCGTAGCCTGCTTTCTCAGCTGCAGAATGCTTCTGGAAAGGATGCTGAAGAACTTGCTGGAGAAGATGGACCTGGTAAACAATTTAAGTAGATAAATATAGATTTTTCTTCCTCAGGACCCTTATTAATTTTCTAAATTTCTAAAACAATAGATAAGTTTTGAATTTGTTTAAAAATGTTTAAACATTTTATGTTTTATTAAATCTTCACTATGGTTGTTATTTAAATTTCTATTGTTCCATAGAAAGTTCCTTCAGGGCTAGTTTTGTGCTAAAACAGGAGAGTGAATATGTAGTGTCCAAAACTACATATATATCTGGTAATTTTAAAACTTCCTTCACAGTAAGATTATAATTTTCTAAAATACTTAACAAAAATAAAACAATGTCAATGATTTGCAATCTTCCCAAATCAAGGGCATGGATTCCAATTCGTGCTGCCTCTTCATTTGTAACTTTGCCCCATGATAATAAACTGAGGCATCAAAGAACACACCTCTTTGAATAATAATTCTAGGGCCAAAATGTATATTTTCATCCAATTATCAAACATGTCATGGGAATGTAATGTACAGCATGATGACAATAATTAATAATACCATATTGCATACTTGAACATTGCTCAGAGAGATCTTAAAAGTCCACAACAGAAAATTTGCAAGCCAGAAGGGAATGGCACAAAATTTTCAAAGATATTAACTAGACTTATTGTAGTGATCATCTCACAATATATATGGATAGCAAATCATTATGTTGTACACCTGAAACCAATATAATGTTATTTGTCAACTAGACCTCAATTAAAAATATTTTTTTCCAGTGGTTTTATCACTTCCTTTGGTATTACTAAGGATAAACGCCTAGTTCTGATACAAAAAGGTGATGATTATTAATAATAAAGTAAAGAAATCAAATAGAGTATATTACTATATTACCAATATTTTAAATGGGAAGACTGCATCATCATCAATATTGCGCTCTTAGAACCTCTCTTAACTTCTCCCCAGGTAATTTCTGTACATATCCTTTTACTGAAGTCAGTTTTATCCCTATCTAATCTCCTTTACTAGTTTAAAAGCTCCCTGAATCAAATTTTACACATCTCCACAGCGCCTCACATAGAGTCAATTCTCAAGAAACATTTGAAGCAAGAAGGTAAACACAAGCTGTGTATGTAAAGGGTTTTGTGAAAAAGGTTTAACAAAATCTTTTTGGTTTTGAGAAAGTAACGCTTAGTTAACTTTCTGGGTCTGTAATCCGATGAGGTGGTATGTCAACTATCACCACAGGACACTGCTAATGACTGACAGCACCTAGAATGGAAGCACTGTGATTTCCTGATGGAACGCTTAGGACTTTCTTTAGTATGGTGACTCTTGGTGTAAGGCAGGTCTCTCGTAGGGACATTAGAAACTACGCCCATGGCCTTGTTACGAGAGAGAGCGGTTTCTGCGGGACGTGAAGCTTCTGAGCCAGGGCTACCCCTGCGTCTTCCCAGCGTGGATCGCGTCTCCCCACACCTGAGCTTTACGCTGCGCCTTCCTGCCTGCATGGACAGCTGCCAGGATTCAGGCGAACACGGGGCCTGACGTTGCCCTGTTCATATAACATGTTTCTGTCCTGTCTCTCTCAGGCGGGTGAGGCCATAAGGAGCCTGCTATCGTCTTAAGAGCCGGAATGTTTACCTGAACCTAGGAAGATGTCTCCCCACCCCTGATGCGTACTGCACCGTTATTCAAATATAATTTTGAAGAAGGCAAATAAAACCAGGAAAGGAACAAAAGGGAGGAGGAAAAAGGAGAAACAAGCCAACAAAACAACTTATTAAACAGTGTTTAGCTTCTTCAGCTTAGATCGATTTATCTAAAGATAAATGCTGGTTATCTCCCTTCTCTTTGTTTTCCCTTAATACCATAAAAAGATTACATTTAATAATATTGTATTTTCTAAAATGAAAACCTAGAGTTGTTAGGCCTATTAAACCACTGAAATAAAAAGTGAATGCAAGTTCCAAATTAGAAGAAGCAAAAATAGTTTTTCTTTCATGCCAACTCTGATCATGTGGTAGTAACTACACGACATGCATGATGAGAATGGCTCTGAGGCTGTGACCGGTTTGAGAGAGAAAGAGGGCCATGCTCACCAATAATGTCTGTTCCAGTGCAGGACACAGAGTGACAGCATGAGTGCCGGGGCCATTCCTCTTCTAAAAATATATTACATGTAATGCATTTTGAAACAACTATGAAATATTTGAAGCAAAGAAGAAGGTATGCAGAATAATATAATGAACTCCTGCATATCCTCCATTTGACTTCAAAAATAAAATACTTCTAATATCGTTGAAGCCAGTATCCCTCTGATTCAAATTTCCTCCTTACTGCAGTCACTACTGTCTAAAGTTGATGTTTATCATTTTTATTCACTTTGTTACTTTTATTATATATGTGTGTATCCCTAAGTAACATATAATAGGATTGTGCATGTTTTATACTGTATTTAAGTGGCAACGCTGTATGTACTCCTTTGCCACTTGCTTATTTTGCTTAGCATTATATGTGGGATCCATCCATGCTGATGTGTGTAGGCCTAGTTCACTCAAGTTCACTGCTGTCAAAGTTAATTTAAGCGGACTCAGGTTGCTAGTGCAATGGATACCTGCTGGAGAGATGCACACCCAAATCAGGGTTCACTGCATTTCAGAGAATGAATCCAAAATTCCCAAACATAAACAACAATTAGCAGAATCAGACCCTCAGGTGTTCAAATAATGTAGATCCATGACATAAAATTAACATTCAAAAATTTAAATATATTAAAGAATAAACTAGAAAATGTGAGAAAATGATTCATGGATGCACAATAAAAAGAGAGACTAGGCAATGAGGATTCTGGAAAGCTAGTCCTGGCAATGTCTGCAAACAAAATCAGTGTGTATAAAATATGATACATTTAACATTCATGAAAATAAATGCAGCAACCACCTTACCTCTGAAAAATCATTCCTTTCTGCTTTTTGCACTGCAGATTCTGCCATCCAGTTCTTCAGCACATATCTAGGATTAACAGCTTAAACAAGAGGGAAAAGCACATGCTGGAAACATAAATTACTAACAACACAGGCCATATGAAATTACTGTTGAAATTAGATAACTTTAAGAACTTTGCTGGAAGGCTCAAATGAGAAGAAATGATCAGCATCAGTGAATTTTGATTGTTCATAAAGAATGAACCATATTTATTACCTTATGGTACAGAAAAAACTTGTTTGAGCGTTATGAGTAATATTATGTTTTGTTTTTCTTTTTCAGTGTTTCATCATTAATTTGTCTTTTTCACTATGTTCAGTCAGTGAAGCATTTAATAAAGCATGGAGAGAGTCCTGAATTCATCTGAATTAGGCCCTGGAGTCTAAGTGGAGGGAGGAAAGTTGCTGCTTTTAACATCTTCGCACACAGAGTGAGGTCTGTCTTAGGAGGACCACTTAATCTAACACTGCCAAGAGCAAACAGGAAAGGTAACCTGTAGGCGAAACTCTTTATAAACTTATATTTTTGGTAGTAACCATGCATTTTTTCATACTAAAAAATATTGTAACAATGGTGCATTTAGAAAAATTCCAGAAACTATATCTTTATTTGAGATGAGACTTTTAAAAAATAATTTATCAGCTGGGTGGCATAAGAGAAATTCTAGAGGCCTCAGAAATCACCATTTTGTAAATCTTAAGAGCAGTTTTCTGAGTTACTTGAATGGAGGGAACATACATTTTAACTTGGTTTTAAAGATCTGACATGACATAAGAGATAATCTAAAACTATAAGTGTCCTGTGACTCAGTTAATTCTAGTTCTCTAAAAATATAGTCTATGGAAACAAATTTAAACATAAAAGGAAATTATTTATATTAAGGAAAACTAGAAACAGCTTAATAATAGAGGAATGGTTAAGTAAAACTTTATATATCCTTCCAAAGAAGTATTATGCAGCCATTAAGAATGTTACTTTATAAAGAATGAACTAGTAAAAAAAAATGCTTAATTTATTTTTAATGAAAAAAAAAAAGATCTAAAATTATACTATAGTATGATCACGACTACACTTTCTCTCCTAACCTATACACACAGAAAAAGAGAGACTAGAGTAAATGTATCAAAAAGTAAATAGTAATTGTGTTTAGGAATATGGGAGATCTTTTTTATTCTTTCTACGAGTTTGCATTTTGTAAATTTTAAAGAATTCATACAGAAATCTTTTAAACTAAAACTCATGTACACAAAAAATATATTCAATATTTAAACAAAAAGGAAACTAACATGCAAGTAAAACTATGAAATAGGGAAAATCAGAAAATTATAGATCTGTTTATAAGATTCTTTGCGGCGTTATCTAATTCGGCACATTTTTATCTGGTTTAGAACTTTCTGTTTGTGGGTTATTTCTTTTGGCATTAAAATTTTAAGCAGTGGGACAAGGAGGATCATGTCCAAACAATATAATTTGATAATCAGTGATTTCCTAGAACATAGGCTACTTAAGGGTAGGTATCTAATTCATCTTTGTAGTTTCAGCTTTAAACAATGTGACCGCAAAAAAATGGCACATAATAGGGCACTTAATATATGTTTGTTGAATAAGTAAATTTAGTGCTGGAAAAAGAGACTTAAGACCATGTCTTACTGAGTATGTCGTAATCGTAAATAAAGCATGCCAATGCTACCATCCATTTGGAAAATATTAATGCATCAGAAATACAGCAGACTCAAATTATTAGGCTCAACTAATCTCGTAGAGTTATTTGGATGCCTAAAATAACAAATATTGAGAATTTAAAAATATATACATTTCTAAGACCTTTACTCATTTTTTCTGTTCCCATTCCTTTAAAATTGAAGCATTTCCAAAAAATGGTTAATAGCAAATCTTCTCCTAGTCTACTATTGAGTTTTAAAATGTTTTGAAATGACATATAATGGCAATATATTTTTGGTTGCTTTGTTTCTAAAAAACATTATATTCATGCCAGTCTTCCCAACATCCCTATGATAAGGACATTTAAGGTACTCTATAATAATAATACAGTAGTTGATATTTATTGAGTACTTTTTATGTGCCAACCATGATCATAATGAATTTGTGCAACAATCCATGATGTAAATGTATTTTATGAATGAGGAACCAAAAGAGAGGTCAAGTGGATAGAAGCATTTTAAAACTGATTGTCATGATGATTGCGCAATTTTTTAATTGCATAAAAAAAAAATCTCTGTACACTTAAAATGGGTAAATTTTATGGAATATAAATTATACCTCAATAAAGCTGTTTAAAAATATATATACACCAGAAAGAGAAAAAAAGGGATGGGGTGGGGTCGGGGGAGGGAGTCAAGTAACATGCTTAATAACATCTAGGAAATAAATGGCAGAAAGCAGAACTCAAGCTCAGGTGGTCTGACTCCGGAGCCTCGGCTGCACTACCCAGAATAAACATGAACTCAGGTCCGGAGCAGCCAGAGACAAAAACTCCTCAGGGGAAGTGAAGACGCAGACGTCACCACACTGTATGCTGCTTCTCAGACGTTTATTTCTTTATGCTCGTATCATTCTTTAATTCCATATCCCTGGTACATATTGTTACATAAATGAACGCAATCAATTTTTTTTATGTTTTTGCATTTTCATATCAACTAAATATATAATAATAATATATGGAAGTATAACTTTAAAGAAAATAAATGAGCTATCATTATGAACTTTTATTATGCCATTGCTCTTTGTGGAAACTTATTTTCTTCCCTTCCTTGAGAGCAAATTGTTTAGTATTTATTATTTCTCTAAAATAACTCAGAGTTGCAGTCTTGAGTTCACTAAATTTATTTTACCATCTCGACCGTCCTGTCATAACCAAACAAGTCCAAATACTGAAAGCTGCCACCACATTTTCTTCTTTCAATTTCTTCTTTTTCTTAACTGCTGAGGTTGTCCATATTCTGAGCTGGGCTATAAATTCCATATGACCGCCCAAATGGACATAAGTGGCTGTCAACTAAATCCATGCTGAGACTCAAAGAGATTACTCACTTCCCCATAAAAACTAAACTTGTTCTTTATTTCTATAATAATGTCCTGAGTTCAGGAAGCAACCTCATTCTATAACCTAGCATGGAATGTTAGCATCGTCCTTATTTCATCAGCATGAATTAGCCACCATGATGACACATGCCAGCTCTCCATACAAGTGCTAGGGCAAGAACACTCAAGACATAGATCTGTCTTAATTTCTTTGATCTTGTTAGAAGCTACATGGCAAAAAGAACTAACTTCCATTTTTTTTTCCTTCCCCAAGCCAAGTGACACACAGTAAACTGAAATCAATATATAAAAATGATTTATTTTTATATCTATTATTTATTGGTATATTATGGCCCAGGTGCTAAAACAAGATACCTTACATATATTACTGGTCGTCATTACAACATCCCTGTAAAATACCCCCACTTACAAGTTTTAAGGAAGGCAAAGGGAAAGTTCTAAGGGCTTTTAGCCTTACAACTTGGAGGGTTAAATATCTTTCAGATCAGACAGCTAAAAAGTGGCAAGATGAAATTCATCTGCCAGATTCCAAAACTCACGTTCTGTCCACCATAACCAAAGCACCTTCCTTGTCTTGCCACCATCCTTTAAGACTATTTTATTTTAACATCAGGATGCAAACTCGTTTAAAGCAGAGCTATCACACTCTAGGTGAACAGTCATCTGCAGAAATCAGAAAAGATCATACATGATGCTGCGACTCAACTAAAATATGCTCATCTAGAATTATTCTAGTTAAAAAAAAAAAAGCCCAGTTCCCTCAAGTAATTACTTCCACGTAAAAAATGTTGCTTTTATGTGATCATTTAAAGTTGAAGAAATCAAAAGATTACTTACTTGTCATTCTTTTTCTTCTTTCAGAATCTGAATCATTCATGTTACTAAAAACGAATAAAACAAAGGACAAAATCAACCACTGTCTCCCCAAATTATATATTTTTTTCAAAAGTGTGAGAATTATTTCACAAGACAATTATTGAGAAAAAAAAACATTTAACAATCATGCTCATTTAGTGTCTGAATGGAACATAGAAAATATTGAGTTGATTAAACAATATGTAAAATATTGCCTTGTTTAGTTATTTTAGATAATATCAAACCTTCTTTTATTTTTACCAATTTAAAAAATATTTTTTCAGAAAAAAAGTCTAAATTGACTGATACTTTTCCTTATTCTTAAACATGGTTTTCTGAAAATAATTTAACTTTTTCTTAATTACTCAGGGTCATCTTTATAAATAGCCCTCAGAGGCTATTAAACTGTGAAGGGCTATTTGTTCCCGTGGTTTTCTTGTCTCTCCCTTCAGCTGCCACTACCTATGGCTTCTTTTCCATGTTTGTTGCTTCTAATTAATTTTGAGTCATGAAACGAAGTAACTTCTTCGTGTTGTAGAAGATGTGCCAGTAAGTAGCCATTGGATGAGAGTCTGAGGTGCTTGGGGAACTTGGGGAGTTGTGTTATTGGAGTTGAGGGGAATGAGTGAGTGCTCTTTGCTTGGGTGAGGTGCTAATACAGATGCCCCGGCCAGGGCAAAGCATCCAGAAGCAAAAAGGAAATGGTGAAAAATGGAAAAGAAGAGAGCAATCCGACAACTTGACTGTGCTAAAGTAAGACATAACATACTTTTTTATAAATTAGATTACCTTACCTCTTCAGTCTCAAAAGGTACTGGGACACCCAGGCAGGAAAGAGTTTGTGCTTTGAAATTGTCTCCAGTGCCCAGAATTGCTAAATGAAAATACAGTAATAGACTCCTTGTTATATTAATATTTATTCAGTTAATTTTGACTCTGCGTGCATTTAAATTATGTGCTTTAATAATAATTTACAATACTCATAATTGTAATAATAATAATTGTAATAATAATATACAATTTTTTTAAAGTATACTCTTTTAAGTAGAAGTAGTATTAAGTAATAGAAATTAATAAAAATAACCTCCTCTAGGAATGGAAGCGGGGAATGTAGTGGATGGGGACAGGAGTTTTTAACCATGTGACAGTATTTAAACAGTAAAAGTTGAGCCTAGCATGGGATTGCCTGTGTTACTGATGAAAGAACTGAGACTCAGAGAAGTTAAATCATATGCTTGAGTTTATTCAGCTACTGGATGATGACATCCAGACTCAAATTCCACAGGACTGTAATTCCAAGCCTTATGATTTAGCAAAGGCTGACTTTTATTTGGAGACTGACTGGATCCAAAGACAGAGAAGGAGTGGTCCATCCTATGCTTTCTCCCTTGACCCTATGTCTATATTTTACTCAAGTCAGTGTGACTACAGTGGGACAGGAGATGCCTGTGCCTGGGAATTAGGAGGCCCAGAAAGGGCTTACTCACTGCTCAAAGCATTTTGTAACTAAAATTCCATGACCAGAACTACAGACCAATGATCCATTATCATGAAAATGCTTTAGAAAGAGCCTCATCAGGCCTGTGTTATGAGAATCGGATCCTGCTGTTTTCTATGGACAGAAAATAAGTTAAAAGCATATAAAATTTTACTATTATCATATTGAGCTATTGCTACAGAAGGGCTTATGCTTACATTAGAGCCCAGGGGTTAAGAGCATGGACTCTGGAGAAAGTTGCCAGTGTTCGAATCCAACCAGACATTTACTAGCTGTGTGACCTGGTGCTAGTTATGTAACCTCAGTTTCTCTGTCAGTAAATAGAGATCACGACCGTACCCACCTCATATGTCATGGCAAAGATTATACATATAAGATGTTTAGAATAGTGCCTAGAACCTAATAAGCACTCAATAAATGTTAGCTATTATTATTATTATATTCTTATTAATTTTTCATTATTTTGTAAAGCATTTACTATCATGCCTGTCCAAGAAGAATAAGCTCTCAATAATAGTGGGTTTCCAATAAGTACTTATTAAATAAATGCATAAATGAGGCTGAATTTTTTTTTAATTTATGAGAAGATAACATTAACTATACAGAGAATGTCATGAAAGAAAGTGAAGAAATTGAAATTGAAAAAAATAAGGCTAGGTTTTAATGTCAAAAATGATAAAAACGATAATTACAATATAAAAGACTGAGACCTTATAAATAGATCTATATTTCTAAAAATCTATAATAAGTAGGAATCTTCTGGTGATAACCATACTATTCCATAAATAATGTATTCAATGTTTTATAATTGAAATAAAAAGGTAATGCATATTCTTAAAAGTGAATTAAACTGGCAGTTTCTTTAAAAATTAAAACACTTTAGAGACTGTTTGGCAGTTTCTTTAAAAATTAAACATAAATGTACTAAATAACCCAGCAATTCCACTTCTTTTTCACACAAAAACCGGTACATGAATGTTCACAGCAGTACTTATTCACAATAGCCAAAAAAGTAGAAACGACCCAAATGTCCATCAACTAGTAAATGAATCAGCAAAACTTGGTACCCACAAAGTGGAGTACTACTCGGAAATATAGAGGAAAGAACTACTGATACAGGTTACACCGTGGGTGAACAATATGTTAAGTGAAGAAGCCTGACGCAAAAGACCATATAGCATATGATTTCAGAACATGTCTAGAAAGTGAAAACCTTGAGAAACAGAAAATAAATTAGTAGTAGTTTAGGGCTGGAGTGGAAACAAGGATTGACTGCAAAAGGGCACACAGGATCTTAAAGTGTGATGGGATTTTTCCCAAATTGAACTGTGATGATAAATGCACAAATCCGTAAATTATTTAAGAAATCAGTGAAGTGTGTACTTCAGATGAGTGGAATTTTATGGAATGAAAATCATACCTCAGTAAACCTGTTGAAGAAAACTGAATTAAGAAAAAAGCCAAATGTCACAATTAATACCTGCGGAATGTTGAGTTCCTGTAATTGGCTTTGAGTAATCTCACTGAGCTGCCGAAAGGTCATTGTAAAATCAGCTTCTGTCTTTTCCATGAGCTAATGAAATTAAGTATATTTATCAATCTCAAATCTTTGAGAATATGATGAATAGTAATTCAAACGTTATTCAGAAAGAAAAAGATAAAAATGTTAAACTCACATGTAAGAGAAATGCAATTAAATCGTCATCACCCTTCCTTTCTCCAAGTAATCCTAATTTGGCTTTGAACAATTCTCTAAATCTAAAAGGAGAAATGTCAATTCGATTTGTTATTAAAATCCTCACTATTTTAAGAATTGTCCTCAAACCACCTGGAATGCTTTAATATCTGTATTCAAAAAGGACAAACCTTGTATAATAAAGAACAGGATACCCCTCAAGAACCTGAGCAGCACTACAGGGAGAAAAAAAGGAAGGACAGTTAAGCCTTAATTTAAAATTAATGTTTGGAATCACACTTTACAAGAACAAAGTAAACTTTCTTATCTATTAAATAACATTAGACTGTATGCTACTGATTCTGGTTTAGTGATTAATTATATATCATATCTTAGAAAACTATCAATATAAATTTACTGTCTCAAAGATGTGTATACAGTACAGATCAAATTAGGTCACTCCTGAAACATTACTATATATAATTAGCTTATAGGTTAAATGTTGATATGTCTGTGTAATACCAAAGAGTTATATAAATGGGCTTTTTGGTGTGATTTTAAAATCATCTTAGACCCAAAATAATGCAATTCAAGTGCCTCACCCAATACAATAATATTTTACTTGCCTGAAAGTATGAAAATAAGTGAAATATTTCATATAAAATAAACTTTTAACCTTGAACCCATCTTTAAACAAATTAAGTTTCTATTTCTTAGTATTCTTAAATGTATTTTAAATAATACAAAACTTAACACAGTTTGAAGATCCACTCTGTTTACCTTCCTGACCTCACCTTCTACAATTCTTTCCCTTGCTCATTCCACTGAAGGCACACTGGCCTTGCTGTTCCTTTAACGCCCCACATACACTCCCACCTCAGGCCCTTTGCACAGGCCATTCCTTTACCTGTAGCACTCTTCTCCCAGATATCTGCATGGTTCACTCCTGTGACTCCTTCAAGCTTTTGCTCAAGTTCTTTACTGATCAGCCTTTTAAAACTGCAAACACTTCCTCCCTCCCTATACTCCCATCCACTGCTTTGCTTTATTTTTCTCCATAGTATTTATCTCCTTCTAAAATGCTATACAACTTATTTATTATGTTTATTGGCTCTCTCTTCCCCCCAGAAGTAAGCACCATGAAAGCACGATTATTGTGCTGTTTTATTCACTGCTGTCCCATTACCACTTAGAACAGTATCTGGCACATACTGATCACTTCAAATATTTGTTGAATGAATAAACTTTGCAGGGCAAAAGGAATATAAAATTAATGGAGACAAGGGTGGGATGAAGACTGCTTAAGAATATCATTTTATATCACTTTGATTTTGAACTATGTGACTGTATTATCAATATAGTTTTAAATTAAATTAAGGAAACCATACATGGAATATAAAACTTTTATCGTATTATAGTAATATTTTGCTACCTGGGGTTAATAAAATTACTATATGCCTTGCCTTCCATTTGAGCTCGTATACTGAGAATGGTCAATTATGGATTGGGCGGGGGGCAGTGGGGAAGATGCAGAGAGTGTGAAGAGAAATATGTTTTATCTCTTAGCAAATACATTGGCGACAAAGAGATGAATAAAATGTGAACTCTCTCAAGGAGTTCAATGCCCAGTGGATAACAAATATCTTAACATAATCCTGGGCCCAGGAGCTTCTGGGGCCTGGAGAAGGCAGGCAGAACTAACAGGGTCGGAGCAAGGCCTCAGGCCCTCACTCTTGAGTACAGCATGGCCCTACCATAAAGAAACATTAACACGTTTTTTCTACCAAACACATTCTTTGATCATAAAAATATGGACAAAATAAGTCCAACTACTTAGAAATTAAGAAACAGTGACAGACTTCTAGCCAAGATGGCGGAGTAGGTACACTGTGCTCACCTCCTCCTAAGACCACATCAAAATTACAACTAAATTATAGAACAGCCACCCTGAGAACTATCTGAAAACTAGCTAAACAGAACTCCTATAACTAAGGATATAAAGAAGCCACACTGAGACTGGTAGGAGGGATAGAGATGTAAAACGGGCTGGTTCCATACCCACGTGTAACATAAAGGGATATCTTGGCTATAGAGGTCCCCCTGAGGAGTAAGAGGTCCCACACCCACACGGGGCTCCCCAGCCCAGAATATCAGCACCAGGAAGAAGAGTCCCCACAACATCTGACTGTGAAAATCAGTGGGGCTTCCATCAGGTAAGATGGAGGGCTGCTGTAGGAGACCTAGCCGTCCTCTTAAAGGGCCCGAGCACAGATTCACTCACTCACAAGCACTCAACCTGGACTCCAGGGAGGGGACAGTGGCTTGAAGAGTGCCAGGGACATACATGAAGGAACTGAATTATCTGGCTTCAAGGTGAGGGCTGAAGGAGCAGTGCTCTCCAGGACTAAAGTGATGGTAGGCACCATTGTTCCTTTCTTGAGCCCTCCCCCACTCAGCCAGCAGGTGCAGGGGGGCACCAACTCTGAGTCTCCAACAACCTGGCTGACTCTGCTCTCGTCCCACCCTGGTGATTCTCTGAGACCCTGCCCTACCTAATTCACATGTCTGGCCCAAAACTCTTTCAGAGGCTAATCCGCACAAGTGGCCAGCTGAGGCCCATTCTGCAAATTTTCCTAAAATATCTAAAAGGTCCACAAACGCCAAACAAGTGGCATTTGGCCTCAGCATCCCCTGTGCCTCTTGCTAGGCAGCCCCAAGCCTGGCGCTAGTGGCAGCTGGCCTCAGTTACAGTATAACCACTCCCAGGTGCCTCCAAGCCCAACATGGGCAGCTACTAACCACAGACCACTTTGTAGCTCCTACCAGGTGGCCCTAGGCCAAACAGGAGTGGCTGACCTTGACCTGTGTGGGAGCCCCTTCCCAAGAGGCCCCCAAACCAACACACCTGATAGCCGGCTTCAGAACACACCAGAGCACCACCCAATGTACACCACAAACAATACCAAAGCATGGACTCAGCAGGCACCAGAGCCCCACTAAAGCGAATCTCACTCCATGGGGTCAGCCCTTGCACAACAGCTTGTCTGCAGTCATGGCCAGTTCTCACAGCCAGTCAGCCTGAGGGTCAATCCCATCCATTGATGTGCCAACGGTAATCAAGGCTCAACTACAACAGAAGTGCACATACAACCCACATTAGGAACAATCCTGGGGCACCTAGGTGAACAGGGTTACTGCACTGGCCCCAAAGGACACTCTGCCAATAACGGGAGATATAGCAGATCTACCGAATACATAGAAACAAACACATAGAGGCAGCCAAAAAGAGGAAACAATGAAACATGTCCCAAATGAAAAAACAGGAAAAAACTCCAGAAAAAGAATTAAAAGAACTAAAAATAGAGGTAAGCAATCTACCAGATACAGAGTTCAAAACAATGGTTATAAGGATACTCAATGAACTTAGGGGAACAGCAGATGATCTTAGTGAGAACTTCAAAGAGATAGGAAACATAAAAATAGAGATAGAAAACATGAAAAAGAAACAGCCAGAAATGAAGAATAGAATAACTGAAATGAAGAATACATTAGATAGAATCAACAACAGATTAGATGAAGCAGATTACGTAGACAAGATAGCGAAAACTCTCAATAGGAACAGCATCAAGAAAAAGAATTTTTAAAAAAGTTTAGGGACCTCCAGGACAACATCAAGCATACCAACATTTGCATCATAGGGGTACCAGAAGGAAAAGAGAGTGAGCAAGGAATTAAAAAACAATTTGAAGAAATAATCATTGAAAACTTCCCTAATCTGGCAAAGGAAGTACAGAGTGTTTTAAACAAGATGAACCCGAAGGGGCCCACACCAAGATGTATCATAATTAAAATGGCAAAGGTTAAAGACAAAGAGAGAATCTTAAAAGCAGCAAGAGAAAAACAATTAGTTATCTATAAGGAAGCTTACCATAAGACTGTCAGTTGATTTCTCAACAGAAACTTTGCAGGTCAGAAAGGATCCGTATGATAAACTGTGATAAAAAGCAAGGACCTACAACCAAGATTACTCTACCCAATGAGGCTATCATGTAAAATCAAAGGAAAAATAATGAACTTCACAGACAAAAAAAAGCTGAAGGAGTTCATCACCACCAAACCAGTAATACAAGAAATGATAAAGGGACTTCTTGAAGTAGAAGAAGAAAATAATTAAAAATATGAATAAGAAAATATAGCAAAGAAAAAAATTCTCACTGACAAAGGCAAACATACTAAAAGCGATGAATCAATCAACACAAAAGCTGGTACAAAGGTTAAAAGGCAAAAGTAGGAAGACCATGTGTAATTAAAACAGTAAATTAAGAGATACACACAAACGCACACAAAAGAAGTAAAAAATAATGACAAAAACATAAAGGTGGAAGGGGTGAGTAAAGTGGCAGTAATTTTAGAATGTGTTTAAACTTAAGGGACTATCAACTTAAAATAGACTGCTATAAACATAACTCGGTAAATGGGAAGCATGTGGTAACTACAAAGCAAAAACCTGTAAAGAGACATACAAGAAATAAAGAGAAAGAAATCCAAATACACACTACAGAAAGTCATCAACATACAAGAAAATAAGGAACAGAGAACTACAAAAACAATCAGAAAACAATAAAATGGTACTAACTACATACCTATCAATAACTACTTTAAATGTAAATGGATTAAATGCTCCAACAAAAGACGAATGGGTAAAGAGGTAGTACATATGTACAATGGAATATTACCCAGCCCTAAAAAAGAATGAAATCTGACCCTTTGCAGCAATATGGAGGACCTAGAGGATATTATGTTAAGTAAAATAAGTCCAACAGAGAAAGACAAATACCATATGATTTCACTTATATGTGGAATCTGAAAAACACAAAATAAATGAACAAACGAAACAGAAACAAACTCAGAGATACAGAGAACAAACTGATGGTTGCCAGATGGGAGGGAGTTGGGAGGCTGGGTGAAAAAGGTGAAGGGAATAAGCAGTAGAAATTGGCAGTTACAAAATAGTAATGGAGATGTAAAGTACAGCTTAGGGAACATAGTCAATAATATTGTAATAACTATATAGTTTCGGGTGGTGGCAAAACTTATTGGGGGATCGCTTTGTAAGTTATATAAATGTTAACCACTATGCTGTACACTTAAAACTAATATAATATTGAATGTCAACTGTAATTGAAAACTAAAAAAAAAAAAAAAAAAACCTTAAAAAAAAAGAAGTAGTGATAAATAACCCTTGGATCAAAGAAGAAATAAACTGAAATTTTCCAATATCTAAAAAGCAATAAATAGGAAAATACTTTATCCTGCTAGCTTTGGAAAAAAAAGCCAAAACTGCACTAGAGAATAATATATAGTTTGAAATGCCATCATTATTAAAAGCTAAATAATAAGATGGTTTCTAAAATTTTACTTTCTTCCTTTTCAAAAAATGATCATTATACAAATATATTTTCACACAGAATTAGTAGATTAAGGATTTACTCACAGCTGCTTTTGCCCTGGATCCAGTAATGGGTTTAGAGCTTGCAACAACTTATTTAAGTTAAACATCCCAATATTGGCCTGATTTCCTATTTTATATCTTCTTTCATCGTCAGATGTGTTTGGTACAAAATCTGTTTAAAACAAAAATACTATCACTATACAGTGAGGATAATTATAATAAATGGCTTCTTTCCTCGTTTTTAAGTTCATATTTAAACTTCATAAATTTATATTTATTAGAAAAAAAATCTTTCTGACAGTAAACATTTAACTCAAAAGTAACATAAATACATAATGAAAATCTTCTAAAATACAAATATTTGCCTAACTGAAGAATATATTTCTAACTTACAAGAATTTCCAGGTCATCGCACATTTACTTCAAACTCCAACTTAAGTAGCATGTTGTCTACTGCTCTGGCCCCTCCCGTGGTAAATGTTGTATTATTGTTACCTCCATTTCATAGGTTAGTAAAGTGAGAAGTTAAGGTACTTGTGCAAGGGCACAGCGCCATTAAGGGTTAGATGCCAGAACTCAAACCTGCATCTGTCTGACAAACATATTCCCTGCTATCCTTCGTGTCCTCTTCTCTGCTATGTAATTCTTGAGGGCAGAGGTCACAAAGAACTCATTATTGTATCCCCATAGCACCTGGAAGATTGAGTACCATATAAAATGAACATTTTATGCATGAACCCAATTCTTTCTACTACTCCATCACTGTATTAGCTGTATCTAAATCTGTGATGATTTTTAGTGAAATAAGGCATATTTATATACATATATATACATAAATCATATATACCTGGATTGTAAGCCTCCATGAAACCAAATGGACCGTAGTCAATTGTAATGGATAACAAACTGAAGTTATCAGTATTACAAACACCTAAAATAACAAAAAATTCCAAAAACACAATAATAAAATAGTAAAGCATATTTTAAAAGTAAAAAATTATCCAGAAGAGAAAAGGATATGAAAATGCATTTGTTTTAGGAATAAAACAAAATTAGATTATCAACTGAAAGTTTAACTGGCAGTCAAATAGCTTAATATATATTAAAACTATATTTTAAAATTAAATTTAGCCTTTTGTTTTATACTACCTTTCCCAAAAATTTCAAATGCTATAGGAACAAAAGCTCTAAGAAATGAAACTTCCTCTGATTCATTCTCAATTTCTAGCATTTGTTTAAAAAATATATATTATTTGGAATGGAATTGAGACTAGTGAAGAAATAAGATTAATTTTCAAAGGTCATGAGAAGAGGAAAAGGTGAAAATATGGATACATATCCCCATGGACAGTCATGAGGTACAGCCCATTTGCAATTTTGGGGGGAGAGTGACCTCCTAGGTGAGGGGGCTTCTGGATAGAGCAGAGTGTGGGGTAGGATACTCCAGCCAAATATATTTGGGCATGGTGGCACAGTGTCCAATACAAAGAATTTCAACCTTTTTCACAGCAAGATGGCCCTGATTATCAAGATGTTAAATGTACAGAATCTCTAATCCAGCCATTCCTCTTTTAGGAGTTTATACTCAATATCTCACCTTCGAGAATATAAAGAAATAGCTGCATAGTGGTCACTGTAGCACAGTTTATAATAGTGAAAAACTCTGAAACACCTACTTTGCTCCCCATCCCATGCCAAGTGAGCTACCGAGAGTATGTGTGTGATGATTAAAGTAGATTTCAAGAAGTTTTGCAATGTAGGATTCCCTTTTTTATATATATCTAAAGACCTTAGCATATATATGTTATATATGCAGTTAGTCTAAGTTCAGGCAGATATTTCTTCCAATACAACCAGATACAGTGAATGGCTTCAAATACCCACAAGCCAGCCCTGCTGTTTTCATAGGAGACATATGAATACCATCCAAAAAAGTTTAGAAGTGATATGAAGTGGTTAATAATGATTATCCTGGAGAATGGAACCCAGAATCACATCTGTATATTTTTAATTCTTTATCATAAGCATGTAGTGCTTTATATAAGATTATTAAAATAGCTTTAGAGAGATCCAAATATAATACACACTCACAAGATGATCCTTACTCTATTTTGTGTTCCATTCAAAACCATTTTAAACATGAGGAAATTGTTTCCCTGTTGCTAAAAACAAATTCGTATATTAAAAATGTTAAGCTCCCTGGCAGGAGTATTTTGAAATACACAAAAAAGAAGTCATCTGCCTCAACAAACTAATTCTACTTTCTCATCAGGAAAACAAAACATCAATATGATACCTTACCATGAGCAAAACCAACAGACATCCACAAGGCAATAAGCTGTGCCGTCTCAGATACCACAATGGAAAAAAAATCCTAAAAATAAAATTTAGAAACTTTTCAGATTTTCAGTAACATACACTCTTTTAGGATCTTCTGAGAAGTCATAAGGAAAACATAGAAAGGTTTCAAAGGTGGGCCAAAAGATGACTAAAGGAATGGAAATTATATGTGTAAAAAAAAAAATGGAAGAGAGTAGGATTATTCATCCAAAAATAATATGTAAAAGGTACAAACATAGTATTATGATCAGGTTTCTCCATGTCCAATGACAGAAGGAAAAGCATGAGATTTCAGCACAAGGGAGTTAAATGTAGGCAAGGTAAACTATTAAACTTTGAAATGAGTCACCAAGAAAAATAATGGAATTCCTTTCTGCGTGACCATTAAAAGAATGAAAAAGAGTTATGAAGATCAAAAAATTTCCACAAGAAAAGAAAATCACAAAAAAAAATGAATAGAAAATCACATTATCCTATTATATATTGTTTATTTTAGAACTATAACTATAGAAATAGCTGGATCTCTAATATATGAGAAAAGAATATATGTCACCAAGGTACAAACGCTGCTCAAAATATAATGCAGAGTCAGGATATAGTAGCACCTGTTCTTTCTTTCATCTTTCAGACAAAACAACTTTTTAATCCATGTCTCGTTTATGAAGTGGTTCATCTTAACTTCCTCTAACAAAATGTTCACAGTTCTCTACATTTCCTTTCCATAACTGTAGTTTTTTAAGTTCTAAGTCATAGCTGCTAATGTTAGAAGGACGATGAGAGAAAACAGTATTGCTCTTTCTCTTTAAAAACTTACCACATATCTATTAGGTTCTTTGACATTTACTGAGGGAAAATGTTCCTGTATGATGAAGTCTAATAATGTCCTGGAGATAAAAAGGAGAGAGCATTGGTGTTCCTCAGAATATAGTATTGAATATCCAGTCATCTAATTCCACCCTTGTCATCCATGAGTTCATTAGATTCATGCTTAAAATTTTCTTCATTAAAATAAGATTATACTTCCAAAAAAGCCACAGAGAAATATTTCCTCAATACCAGTCAAAACTGGAAATGTGTTTCTGAGATCATATTAGATTCCATCTTATCATATTACAGATTCAGATGAGTTCAATAAACCTCCATGGGTACCTACTGCCCTGGTGGATACAATAGGTGCCAGAGAGACCAACAAGACCCAGACCCGCACTCACAGAGCACATAGTCCGTTAGGAGAGAAGAACACATGAAGAAATAATGACATGCCAACATAACACATGCAATAATAGGAATATATAAAAAGCATTTTAAAGATAAAAGACAGGAAATGACGAAGTATGCATGGAGGTCGCGCAGCTTTCACTAATGAGATGAGAAAAAACTGGCTAATGTCTGAAGTTAAACTATTTGAGTTGTGTATGTATCATATTTTTTATTCCCAATTTTAACAGACTATTTTAGCTGTTTGACTAACTACTAGTGTTTATTGCACTGGATAAGAGAGAATCCAGAAAACAAACTGCGGATTGTAGATATGATTTAGGAATTGTTAAAACCCAGTCAAAACGATAGGAGTGAATTAGAGCTTGTTAATATTTTTTCAATAATTTAATCATTTAATAACTGCCTATGTGTCAAGAACTGTTTCAGGCATTTGGGAAACAAAAAGTGATGTATGTATATGTGTATATATATGTATATATACATATATACATGGTCATATATAGTCATATATAGTCTCATTCATCTATATATATGATGAGTCATATATAGTCTCATTCATATATATATACAGTCACGTTAGCCAGTAGGGTGTTTTAAAGATGAAGTGTTCATCAATGTACATTGGTCAATGTACAAAGGTCAGAGAGAGAAGTGAAATATAACTTTACCAGATGGAACGATTTCAGTAACATGGTGAATCCAAACAGAAGTGACCCAAAAAAACCAATGAGACGTTAGAAATAATACCCAGTGAGAACAGACAACTCTCTCAACAAGTCGGGATGACCCTGAGCTCAGTAAACATTTGCTAAAAGAGAGACTCAGAGAATAGTTACGTCAAGTGGGAGGACTTCTCTGGTCTGCTCTTTCATTTCTCTCATTTCTTTTCTCCCCGTATTCTTTGTGGATATTGTATCCATATTCCAAATGATTCTAGTTTACCTAAGGGAATTTTTTTCCTTATATGTATATTTCTAATGATTTTTTAAAGCTGTGTCATCTTAACAAATGGAAACAGAATTCTTCTTAAAGAAGGAAATGTTTCGTTTGAAGAAATGTCTTGCTAAGTCTGCTTGACGAAGATGGAATTTTGTGCAGATACCTCAGGCACCAAGATATCAGAGGATGGTGGGAATGGTCCTGCACGACGCAAGGGGGAGAATGTATTGATCTCGCTCTTTTGAAGCTTTTCCTCTGTCTCTAGAAATCTTTGGTAAGATGCTCTCTGTTCTTAAATGCTTTGTGTAAATTTAGTCTGTTGTTTTTTTCCATCCTGTTTTTGGGTGTGAAATGGGCATCACACACATGTCAAAACTGAAGTCTAAGAATGAAGAGACACAAGACAGAGACACTGGGAATCCCAGAAGTTGGAAGGAAACTGTGGACCTCTTGAGTGTACAGAATTGGGGAGTATGAGTCACTTCCACCCAGGTCTCTGAGTGGCATAGAGGCCATCAACTGCAATTGGACTGCATACTAGATAAAAAATTTCTTGAGAAAAGGGTCTACTGGGTCTTATATTTACTCCCTTTTTTAGTCTCCTAAAAAACCCACATGATGTTAGGCCTTATAGCAAGTGTTAAAAATATTTATTAACTGAAATTTTTGGTTTTACTTGTTAAGAAAACCAAAAATATTTTAACTTCCCAGCAGATAAATAAGTGGTTTTTTTTTTAATTGCATTCTATCATTGTTCTAAATGTCATTTTCTAACCTTAGTAAATCCAGTTCACTATCATGGGCCAAAATTTCTAACGATCCAATTCTAAACCACGATTTTGCAACACGCAGCACTACTGCACCTGGAAAAGAAGTGTTTAATTTAGCATAAACTATTTCAAACTATGCAAATATAGCATAATATGCTTTCCTTAAATATGAAATTATTTTGATAAAAAAGAATACAGTAACCGAATTTATTGGAAAATCAACTAATTTACACCCTAGAAAGGATCGAGAATTTTTCTCTATTTCTTGAAGCCTGAACCAATTAGAATGTTAAGAATCACAATCTTTTCAGAAATACTGAGGCCCCAACCTAGCTGAGGGCTGCTCAGCTAAACTTTAAGGCTCCCAACATCAGAGTCTCACTGTCTCCTCAATTGTGATCTTTTCCCTGTCCCTCATCCTGAAATAGAGAATTAGTGAATTATTTCTACAGCATAGTCCCTGTAAGTGCCTTCCATTTGTGTAACTACCTGAGAATTAACTTCAATAAATAAATGTTTGCATATGTTCTAACTTATTATAGAAATAAAGTGAATCTACGCATTTTGTGTCTGGGTTTGCAGCCTTCTACTGCTGCCTTATGTTTTGATTATAGACAGTAGTAATATAATTAATAAATAGAATTCATGTCTCTTTCTCGCAAGGAATGCTGTGCTTGTGAGTGTTTAGATGTTGAGATGAAGGCTATCCCAGGTGCCAAAGCTCCCGCCCGGTGAGGGCTGTCCTTCGACACACTTCCTGCTATTTACTGAATACCACGGAATCACTGAATATTGAAAGCACTGAAAGACACAGGTGGTATCATCTAATCTAACCCCTCATTTTAGAGAAACAAGGCCAGAATGTGCTCGCAGTCACAAATCAATTCCCGCAGAGACAGTTCTAGGTTTCACATATGCTTTTTGCTTGCCCAGCACTTTTCTCGTTGTACCACAGCGGCTGCCGGGCAAGGATTAAGGTAAATGCACAATCGAAATATCTGTATTTATGTGAAGACTTAAATGTGGAAATTCTATTAATGACCTAAAAATGAGAAATACTTGGGATCATTTGAAACAATTGTGTTTTGGAATTCAGATTAATAATATATATGTCACAGCCATGAAAGTAAATAGTGTTATACCCATCATATTTTTTACAGTATGTGGTTGAAATCTCATTTCCGATTACCATGCACAAAAAGACCTAAATAGCTATTATAGGCCCATGTGCAATAGTATCCATTTTATCCAGATGAAATTAAAGGGGAGAGATACCATAAAGATAAATAACTATTAATTTCCTTAAGCACGAATACCCTGGAGGGGATTGTTTTGTTATGAAAATCTTATCAAAACATATTATGTACTAAATATAAAGAACACAAAATGTGCTCCTGGTGAATCACTGAGAGTCAGTAAAAATGCTGCACGACACAGTGATGTCCACGGGACCCAGTAAAGCAGGCAGGGTTGGCAGTACTTCTTGATAGCTCCACGTTTAAAGCAAGGAAATGTGTTTATTATCGATTTTCAGGTCCCCTCAATCCCCAGAGATTCGGAGTCAAGTCTCTCTTACTCTATCCCTTTTGCTGTTCCGTAGCACATTTTCTCATTCCCCTTCTAATTTTTTATTTCTATCTTACTAAAGGCTGAGGAAAAAGTTAACTGAACTTAAACGTGAAGTAAGAGCAACCGGGCTCTGAGAGGAGGGCCAGACGCTCCCCTGGGACAAAACTGGCTTTGTAGCATTTTGCCAGCCGTCCATAAACATTTTTTGTTCACCTCCTAGACGTCTGCTGTTGGAAATAGATGGATTAATGATGTAAGGACGTGGGAAAGGATATTCTATGATAATATCCTAACATGGAAATATCTGGAAGAACCATGGGTCATTTTTTTTAAGAAGATTGACAAGATGTCCAATATCTATTGTTCTTTAAGAGCTTGGTCTATTTTATGCAGGTATTCTGAAAACTGTTATTACCTCGTTCTTTCGCAACGTTTCCATTGTAGAACTGATCTCTCCATACTTCGTCATCACTCACAGCTAGACTGGAACATGAGAGAATCGAACAATTAAAGTTACACTTGAACTGCGAGCAAGCTACCAAGGAGTACCTAAAACTATAAGAAATGATTAAAAAAATCATGCTATCAGACTTATCTGCTCCATTTACTGACACGTTTCAGGAGATGACACGATCCAGTCCTGAAAGTCAGCTTCAAGAAAAGAGGCGTTACCTTGCAGCTCTGCTGGTTGGAATTCCAAGATGGTACATAGCCTCACTACACAAAAATTCTCTCACTGAGGAACGAAGTACAGCTCTGCCATCGCCATTTCTATGAGAAATAAGATAAAAAAGATTTTCAATGGTAATTAAGACATTAATATTTATTTAGATTAGTAAAAAAAAAAAAAAAAAACTATACCGGGAATATGGGGTCTTTCCAGAACCTTTTAATTGGAGCTCCCACTTTTCACCCTGCCTTCAAAAAAAAAAAAAATCTAAGCATTAGAAGATTCATGTTAATATTCAGTGGAAACACTACTCTACAAGGAAACATGTGGTACCTGTTCCTGTAAATTCCAATAAGATGGGCTCTTCCATCCCCAAGCTGATCTGCCCATATCCCAAACTGAAGGGAAAAAGGGAAAATCAGTCATGTTTATTAACCCATATAGCTTTCATAGTAACTTTATAGCCAAGGTTATTTTGTCAAAACTAAGAATGAAGTATTGCATTTGGGGGATTATAATCATCAACAACTCTAATATAGGTGAAAATAAAATTCAATCAATAGAACATAATTAAAATTCATTTTCAAAATATAAATTTATAACCTTTAACTAATTCATCATTTTATAGCTGAGCCAAGTTAGTTAGATGAAGAATACTTAGAACTGATGTATTTAATCCTAGAATATGAGTTAAATTTATTAGAAAACTTGCCTATATTATACATATACAATATAAAATCAGGAATATACTTATAACTGAAAAAATTGCTTTTGAACCACAATTAACTGTTTCCAAATCTTTCTGTCAAAATTTGTTTGAGGCTGTTCAACTCCCAGCTATGCCACTTACTGACTAGAAATTTGTGTGAGTTAATTCATTTCAGAGACTGACCTTTCATTACTGTAAAACAAGATAACACTTGCCAGGCTGTTGTAAGAATGAATGCTAATAGATGCAAAATGATGTACTATGTCCAATATTCATAAATGCCCAAAAGATGGTAATTATTATTATTATTGCCAACAATTATTTGCTAATTTAGACACCACTCCATTTTCCACATAGACATTACCATGAAGTTTTCTCTGACTTTCCAGGACTTGGAGGGTGGTCCTGTAAATGCCCGTAACTCCTATACTTAACTCTATTATAACCTGATGTTATTGGAATTTGTTTATTTATCTCTCCCCTCCCCCAGAGTATTATCCCCTCCCCCAGAGTATTAGCAATTTGAGCCAAGGGAACAGGTTGCATTCACCATTATAGCTCCTGGCCCATAAAAGGAGTTCTATAAACGGCTGTGGAATATTTAAACATTTACAGTTCTGGAAGAAAAACATAAAATTGAGAAAAATTTATCCAGTATTTTAATTTTTCATCTTAACTAGGAATGGACCACCATTAATTGATTTTAGCTGTGGAATACCTCTAAGAGCACAAGTCTGAGAGGTGCTCTAAGCATATTCTGGAAAGTTCTAAAGTTGACAAAACATTATCCCAAACCAAGAGCTTGGAGTGAAATCAGGGGAAACAGAAAAAGTTCTCCATTAACAAAAGAGAAATCATTTACTACACTATAAGTTCGAAATGGCAAAACCATCCTTATAAATATTTACATGTAATTTCAAATCGGGGAGAAGAAACAAAACATGAAACATGAAACTGACAAAAGCTTAATCTAATTTACTCTACTACCAAAAAATGTACAAAAAAGCTAAAAAAACTCTGCAGGGCTGAAGGATTGTATTTGTACTTCACAGTACATATGACTACCGATATAAAATGCTATCTAATAAATTTAACCTATATGGGAATGGCTTTTGAACCATGAAATCCTATATTTAGGAGTATAAAAACCCATAAGGATCATCTAGTCCAGGAGTTTCTAAACTGAGAAGCGTAATTCAGGAAAACATTAATAGTTATTTCTTAAAAACAGAACCACCACAAAACCCTGCAGTTAAATATGTTTGGAAAATGATGTGTTAAATAAAATAAAGCATACTTCTTTGTCACAGCATTTCTCTCAAGTCCTGGAATGATCTTGGTCAACCCTTATACCTTACAGATCAAGACACTGAAATTCAGGTTGGTCATAGATGGTCCTTAGAGTCCTTTTCAAGTCACTTTGCTTCTTAGCTTATGTTAGCTTAGTTTCTTATCTTCTATATTACTTTTGCTTCTTGGAAATTGAAGAATGAAAGCAATAAAATCTGAAAAAAATTAACTACCACAAAAACCAAGGCTTGATATTAATCATTATTATAATAGCTATTGTGGAAGCACTTTTCATATATTTCCTAACTTAATCCTTACTCTAACTCTCTATTATACTTAGCTACTTGTCCTAAAATCTATGCCTCAGTAAACCGGGCCCAAACAACCAGTGTTAAATTAATCTTATCTAGCTCACAGGAATTTCAACAATTGGTCCTGCGCTCCTTTTTTTTTTTTTATTAGTCAGATACCACATACGAACTTGCTTCCACATCTTGCTTGATTTCTAGAAGGTGTCTTCTTAATTGCTTCAGCACATATAACACCCCCAATTAATCCTGGTTTAATTTCTAGCAGTTTCTAGAAGTTCTAAAACTTTATAGCTCTCCTGACAAAATTATTATCTATTTGTCTTTCTGAGGCTTTTATACTGACTCATCGCGCTACTTGATTTTGTCTACATCTCTTGCCAAACTTCACTGAAAGAGTTCTCTAGCATAATTCACAGAAATTTTACATTTGTGCTGCCCCAGTTTTCTCAATTCCATTAAAGAAACTTAGACTCTAGCTTTATCAAAGCAAGAAATCAAATCAGCTAATCTATAAAATATGACACATTCTTCTACAAACACCTTGTTGAATTCTCAATATACAACATAAGAGAAAGTAATACAAAATAACTTCTCTAATAGGACAGCATTTCCACCAACTGTTGATATTTGCATAAGGGATACTATGCTGATGCTATTCTTACCTGGTGGCCACCATATCTGTGAGCCAGTGGAATGGATCCGGATACTATCTTTCCACCACTTACAAGCTGGATAAAAGCATTTGTTTCTGAGATAGATAAATCAAGGTCCAAAATATCTTCTAGAACTTCCTGAGGAAGGAAAAAATATACCTTCTTACAAACTTAAGTAATCCTTTAGTAATTTTTAAGAGACTCCATGGAAGAAAAAAAATTAAAAGAATGAATCTCTTCCAAAAATACATTGATTTTTTTTTTTAATTAAGAGATGTACCATACTTCTTATGATTATTTATGTTATTTGGGAAAATCAGTTCTATTAGATAGTTCTAAAATTTTTATGTATTTCTTGTGATGCATGGTTAAATATTTTTCCTAGCACATATTCTTTAGAGGAACTAGAAAAAGTAAATGTCCTATTTTTATCTCTAATTCATTTATATCATGAGAGAATTTAGAATTTGTTATTAGAGCCCATTTTTAATAACTTAACTCATTTACCTTTTTTTTCACAAAAGTATATTTTATTTGTGAGATAACTTTAAGGTGAACCTGAGTATTAGGCTCTAGGAATAAGTATCAAAAAGTGATTTCTAAGAATGACATTCTCCAAGTGTCTGAACTTTAAACACAAAGAGAGTCATTTATCAATACACTAACAATTTAACTCTGAAACAAATATTAATATCTTTTTGGACAAAAGTTATAGTGAGTTAAGTATTTGTGTTATGAAAAATTAAAGCCTAACCTTTGAAACTGCTACAAGACGTACTCTTGACTTGAAAGGAGTAGGGAAGGCAATTGAAAAAATGCAGTTTCTCACTTTACGAACATAATTTTCTTTAACAGGATCAACTGGCAGCACAGCTAATAAAAAACAAAAACAACCTTCTTAATGTTTTCATTTGTTGCATTTACAGCATTAATATTCCTTAGAAAGGCTATGGTTCTTCAAGAAAATCGACTTAAAACACTATTTTTTTCATGTTTTGTTATTTAAAAGCTATCTAATCATTTTCAACCATATCTGTCCAATATTCATACATATAGTATATGGGACTGTCCAAGAAGATGAGAGATTAAAAAAAATTTAAAACAAGGCATGTACTCTGTCTTCAAGATTTTTGCTCATGGCAGACCAATAGGATGTGCAACATATTTACAAGTAAGACTATATAAATAAAATGGAGGTGAGCTACATCATAGTTTTAGAATTATAGTGTGGGCTAATTCAATGGAATCCAACCAAAACATATTAGGTGCTTCATCACATTCTTTCGGCCCTTTAGAACATAATCGACTGAAAGAAAAAGATACATAAGTAAATATCTCTAATACCAGGGAACAGACATTTTACTAAATATATAAAACTGCTTCCAGTCCCGCCAGAAACTTCAAAATATGATACATGCCTGATGACAAGGATAGATTTGCCTCTAAAGATATAAACTGTTTATCATAAAGTCCATGCACTAAAGTACACGTACTTTATTTTAAAAGCTGCGGAGAGGTTTGAACATGCTTTAGATATGTAGAACATGTTTACTTTTAAGTACAATTCTTAAAATCTGAATGTTTCCTAATGCAGAGCAATTAAAACAAAAAATAAACAGAAGAGGGTAGGTGCTGTACTAAAATACAAGGCAAAGGGAGGTACACAGAAACCTATGTTTCTGGATAGAGGTTATATTGTCAAGATGTCTCAGCAAATTATTTAATAAACATAATGGAAATGCAATCAAAAACCTAGTGGGATTCTTTTTTGAAGAAAAAGACAAAGTTAAATTATAAATCTGGAAAAATAAAGACTAATTTTTTTAATAAGAGGAATGGGAGTTTCCTTACCGTATTAAAAATTACAAGAATAAAATAACTAAAAATAGTTATCCCAAAAAAATAGATGTAAAAACCAATGGACTCAATAAAAAGCACAGAAACAGCCCAAAGTAATTTAAGAATGCCCTATATCATGAAAATTATCTTTAGAATCCATGGAGAAAGATTGCTTTGGGACAATTTGTTCAATAGTTTGGAATAACTCCTGTTGATTCATCCCAAACCTAGGTGAATGAAATGTCAGTTTAACAGAAGATTAATCTTAAATCTTCCCCATATGAGTATAAAAACAGGCAAATGTGGGCCACATTTAACCCTTTATATTTTCCCCTAAGTATATGCTAAATAAGGTAGCATCGTGGGAAAAGTGGTCAACCAAAAAATAGGTGATTTTAGTTTCCACCACGGAAAATCTGACAATATGATTAGAATAACCAACAGTATATTTTCTTCTCTTTTAGGAGAGCCTATGCCTGGAAACAGACTAAATTATATAATTAGTGCATCTTCTTTTATGATGCTCTAATATTTTAGTAGAGCACGGGCAATATATAATTTCCATTAGTATTTGTGATTTTGTACTGATTGATTCACCTTTTGGCAAGGCAGCTGATCAGCCAATACATGTGATCATTGGCCATGGAACAAAAAAGAGTAACTGCTTCAGAGGTACCCCACCCTTACCCTCATTATGCTTTGACAAACTCATCAGTCATAGACCGAAATCCTGAAGAAAACTCCAAATGTATGTTAACCTTTTATCTTAACTTCTCTGAGAAATCAGTAATTCCCAAATTAAATTCTTTAGAATTGTTTTGCCTAAGAATGTGAAATCCACAAAAACTGCTAAGCTTTCAGTGAAACTATATTTAAACCTCTTCTCTCAATAACTGTTCTTCCCACAGTTACCTTGATAATCCATTGATCATTTACTTAATAACATCGAGAAGAGATGCTTTTCTGCGGTACTGTGAACAAAGATGTGGTTAGCATGTATATAGAATTATGTGTATAATCTTGGCTGTAAAACCTGGTCCCATCATAATGTTTTAAAGAAAATGTCTTAAAGTGTAGCTGACTCTTCAACATTGAAATAGCTTTGAAAATGCTTTCAATTACAGTTATTCCACTTTTATCAGTCAATACTGATTGTTTCATTTGCATAAGGGCAGTCTTTCCAGCCTGTGCAAAGAAGAGCTGTTTGACAGTTACTTGCACAGCTCAATCTTTTTAACTTCGTAGATCCATGCTTGGCCTAGTTGGGTCAAAAGAACAATTAGTTGGTATTCCACACATCCTATTGATGGGTTATTGTTCATCAAGAGTTTAGCCATACTATAATGTTGAAAGCCTTCATGAATGTCATCCATCTTTCCTACTTAACCTTGGCATATTTCATCTCTTTAAAAACAAACAAACAGGTATTTTGTTTTAATCTAGGTAAACAATTTCTAAATGAAAATGACCTGATAGAATTGTTGTACTACATTTGTTAACTATGTGAGCTTAGACACCACACTTAATTCCTCTATATCTGTTTCCTCGTCTGTAAAAAAGGGCAAATGATATTAAGTAATAAGATTGTTTCAAGTACAAGTGTTTAGTGCTGCACTCTGGCAAATTCTACCTGTTGGATGTTTCTTAATATATAAACTTTTATCAAGATAAGCCACAGGTACATAATAAATAACCTTTAATTGTAAAGCACCTGAGATTTTTTTTACATATTCTTCGAGATTGGAGAGGGAAGCCTGATAAAACTGGATTCTTTTAAGATATTTCTTTATTCTATACTTTTATTCAGTAAAAAAAACTTTGAAGATAAATATAAAAGTAATGTGCTCTGCATTCCAGGCACTTGCACTATTTAATGCAAAAAGCATGGTTTAGAAAAACAAGAAAAAAACGTCAGAGAATTGCAGTTGCCTCTTTGCTCATCTATTTCCTTGTATGTGTGAATTTTTTTGAGGCTAGAGTTAAGTTTCTTCTCTTTCTGTATCCCTAATGCTTACACTTTCTTTCACTGGCTCTGTGTGCCTGTGCCGAATGACTAATTATATATCACGGATTTGTTATAAATACGCCCTCTCATCACCGTGAGAAGAGATCTGGCTATAGAATTAAGGAAAGGTCTTCTCATCGGGTACTAATCCTGTACATTCTTCAGTATCTCCGGGGCTGGCTACAAGTAGGCTCAACATTACCAAATAGCAAACAATCTCACACAGCTCACTACAGCCACGAGTGTCACTCACACATCCAGATGTGAGCAAGACAGCCCAACTATTGCCCCAAGTACCTATAAGGTTTTCAGAGGAGAGAGTCCAAAAGTCGAGAGACGAGGCTAATCTAACTTCTGTTTCACAATAACTGTGTTCCTGGCTTGACTTGTTATTGAAAAGATGCAAAAGGCTGGAGCTTCCTTCAAGGCCAGGTTGCACAAAGGAGCCTACGACAGCGTGGCAGGTCAAACACTGGAGAAGCAGCCGCGGAACCTGCAGCCTCTGGATGAGGCTGCGAAACGGGGACCCGACTGTTGGAGTTGTATCTCTGCCCGAATACACAGAACAAAAGTTAGTGGCTGGAAGTCTGGCGCCCTGTGGCATTTCTCGCTAACAGCCGGTCCCCCGAAGGAGCATTTTGCTCTGATTGTTGGAGCTCCTGGCTCCCCGCGAGTCGCGGGGTTTGGGAGAGACGGCTCGCCGGGTGGAAAGGCACGGTCAGCTTCTCCCGGGCCGCGCACCGCTCCTCGCGTCACCTCCCCGGGCGCGCCGGGCGCTGCCGCTGGGGCGCACTGGCGTCGCAGCCCCGGGGAGGGGCGAGAGGCCGAAGCGCTTCCTGGGCCAGGTTTCCGG